GCTTCATCCTACTTCAGCATATGGTGCAACTTGGAAGACACGTTACTCTCAAACCTTGACATTCCCTGTGTGCTGACACTCAATAACTGCCACTGACAGGAAATACCACACTGCAAGGAAGCAGAATGATGAACTACTGCTTGAGCAGCCACATTCTGAGCAGTGTGATATCAAAAATAAGACATTTAGACTTATTTTGTCTTTTAGCTCATAACAACAAAGCATGCAGAAAATAAGTGGGCAGAACTAACTCTTCTACATTTTGGCACTTGGAGTAGAGAAATAATCTCAGTCTTTAGCAGAGAATGAATATGGGGTATCCTCTTCCCAAAGCTCGCATTATGGCAATTACCACAATTGCACAATGAAGCTATTAGTTACAAACATCACATAAACCTGCAAAGACACAGGAAGGACCAGCCAGGGCACCCAGTACAGCTGGAATAAAATCTTGTAGTCAAGACTCCTTGAGAACACAGAAGTCACCTGCTGGCCTAGACCATGTTCTTTAACACGCACCATCATACCATAGACTTGACACAGCCATCTTTACATCTCTGTCATGAAGGTGGAGGATAGTTTTGTTTGACCATTAGAGAACTGTGAATAAATTTCTAACTTCAGTAAGGCAAAAAGGAGAAGCTCTCTAGGACAAAATAAAATGGTGAAAATCTGCAAGGGGTCATTCTCTCCCTCCTCACCTTGCTGCCCATAACCTGACACTCTCCCCTTCTGCCCTGGTATGGCTCTTGCCATAACAGAAATTTTCAAGCTAAGGCCTATCCGGTCCTCAAAAAATAAAAATTAAAAGACATGAGGTCAGCAAATTTTCTCTACTGCTTCCTCCAAGGGCCCTTCATACACAACCACATACATTCTTCCAGAGGGTGCACAAAGACCAGAACATAGATGAATGCAAGGACAATTCTTGCTCACGTCTTATCGTGAGAAAAACGAAAAGCTGAGGAATACAAACAATGTCAGCATCACATTCAGGAGTATATCACATCACTCAAACACACGTGATGTCGGGAACACATCTGAATCTGCTAATAATGCGACATTCCCTTAACTAACAGCACAAGGTATCCATTCAAAAGACCTAAGGCAGAGAGGAAAACTACATTATATTGTTAAGGGAACAAAACGAGAAAGGATCTGGCAGCAGATAACAAAATCAAAGACCTGGAAAAAAGCTGCAGCCGGCAGCAGCATCACTTCTATATCCTCCAACAACAGCACATGAGTCCTTCTCCCCGTGGCAGGACTAACTAAAGCCTCTCTGAATGAAAATTTTACCATCTGGCATATGTAACTCACCGAAGGAGGGGCGGCATCGGCGGGGAGGGCGCTGGCAGGATCCTGGTCCCCGAGCAGCGGCGCGGGCTCGTCGGGCGGCGGCCGGGCCGGGAGGGTGTCGCAGCAGCTGCCG